CAGAATTTATAAAAACAGCTGTAAAAATAAAATAGTAATTTTATTTGGATCGGTTAGAAATTTTATCAAAATGATAATGTTTAAAATTTTATCTTCGATTCATTGAATGAGTTTTTTGGATTAAAGTCGCAATTATTGTTCACTGGTCACCCGTTGAGTGACCCACCCGCTTCCACCCGGGTGGCCAAAACTCCACCCGGGTCACCCGTCCACCCGCGGGTGACCCGGGTGGCACCTATCCGGGTCCAATCACTATATTCATTAATTTTTTTGAATCTTTTCAGAACAAGATCTTATAGCACTCACGGAAACTATGCGTAATCAACACGGTAGTTTTATGGTAATTACTGGAAAAGTTGCATTGCTACATGAAGGTATAGAAAATTACGTCAAAAATATCTTAATTATCGACGTAATGTTCTACAAGACAATGTCAACCCATTTGATTCACAACTAAAAGATGGTATATATATATATATATGTAGGTTAAAATAGGTAATAGAAAATCTATATAATTATTTTAACTTATTTTTATTCAAAATAGCCGCACCTGTTTTATCCCTCATTGAAACCATGTCGCCGAGGGAGTTGGCACAAACAATCTCGAGAATACCAACAGCCAGTCAAACACAGCAAACCAATACATTCCAACAATCAAGTTTACTCTCTTCATTTAAGCGGTAAATACAATTTCAAATGCATAATTACTAGAAATTAGAATATTTTTTTTTCTGTTAAAAACTTTATAGACAACCGTTTTCTACAATCATGTTTTTAATTTTGAGTAGGGTAAATTTAGATTGCTGTATTGTATTAAATAGTATATTTGATACTCTTTCTTTGTCATAGATAAATTTATTAACATTTTTACAATGCATTATTTTGTATTACGTTCGGTTCAAGAAAAATATGATATACTGATAATAAATAACTTGTGCATTTCGAGCGCGTTGTTACTCACGTGATAGTTATCAAGTCACTTCACTTGTCATTTATAAAGTCCCTCGTAGGACTTAACTTTAACAATCAGCACTGTAGTCTCGTGTTCATATCCATAGTAAAAGCATTGTTGACTACCGGAAATCTTATGAGTGTAGAAGAATCATCGGTATTTTTAACCATTTGCTAGCGTTAGTCAGTGACTCAAATTGTCGCTTTCAAGAAACTTATTAACTTTATTAACATAAAAGATAGGATTTGTAACTGGAATTTCAGTGTTTCAAGCCTTTTATATT